AGGGATTGGTGAAAGGATGGTAATGTACATAGTTTGGGATATAAGCAGTGCCAGTGTAATTTTTTTGGATATATGCAGTGCCAGTGCTGTTGTGGAGATTCTATTCCAAAGATACTAAGCTATTTGTGGCTCTCTGTCGAACTGTGGCACCAGTTCCAGCCCATGATACGTTGGTTCTTTGTACCGAAATGTTGGTTGGCACTTGACGTAGGTAAAATGTTGTAGATGTTCATAATGTCCCTGTTGCTTAAGTTGCAACTTTTGATGCAGCTGCTGTAGCGCTTGATGCCGTTGCTGTAGCGTTTGTTGCCGTTGCTGTAGCGTTTGATGCCGTTGCTGTAGCGTTTGATGCCGTTGTTGTAGCGTTTGATGCCGTTGCTGTAGCGTTTGTTGACGTTGATGTAGCGTTTGATGCCGTTGCTGTAGTGTTTGTTGCCGTTGATGTAGCGTTTGATGCCGTTGCTGTAGCGTTTGATAAAATCTTTGTTACTTTTACTGTCTGATGCTGCTGTTGTTGCAGTGTCCTTCGCTTTTGTTGCGTTGTGACTGTTGATAGAATTCCGTGGGTGGTCGAGAAAGGTGATATTGTAATGTTTTCTTTTGTTAGGTTCCATGTTATGTTTTTGTAGAGAATGTTGATGCATTGGCTGCTGTGAATGTTTTCATATCTACTGTTGTGTTTCTTGTTATAGGTGGTGTTGTTGTTGTTATAGCTGGTGTTTTTGTTGTTATAGCTGGTGTCTTTGTTGTTATAGCTGGTGTCTTTGTTGTTATAGGTGGTGTTGTTGTTGTTATAGCTGGTGTCTTTTTGTTATAGCTGTGTGTTGTTTGACGATGTTGTTCCGTATCTGTCAGGGATGTCTGCTGTAGTGATGCTGTTGTTGTTGCTGTTGTTGCAGCTGTTGGTGTAGCTGGTTTGGGTTTGTGTTGTCTCTGAGCTCCAAAAAGTGGTACCTGATGTATCGAGAGTCGCTGATGTTGTTACTCCTGTTGCTGACGTTGTTACTCCTCCCGTGGCTGTTTCTCCTGTTGCTGCTGCTGTTGTTACCTCTGCTGTTGTTGTTTCTGTCGCCACATACGTGGCTTCTCCCTTCCCCTTTGCTGTTGCTGTTGCTGTTGTTTCGTTGTCGGATGTTACCGAGGATTTATCTGGAAAATATTGCTTTCAAAAAAACATTACAAATTATTATTGTTATTATTTAAAATCATTCAGAACATAATAACATAAGAGAATAGGGATGGAGGAGCGCTAGTCAGATCCCAAACCCTTTCTTATTAAGATCCAACCCTTACTTATTAAGGTCCAACCTTTCTTATTAAGATCCAACCCTTACTTATTAAGATCCAACCCTTACTTATTAAGTTTCCCCCCCCTTACTTATTAAGATCCAACCCCCTTTCTTATTAAGATCCAACCCTTACTTATTAGGTCCAACCCTTTCTTATTAAGATCCAACCCTTTCTTATTAAGATCCAACCCTTACTTATTAAGGTCAACCCTTACTTTTAAGATCCAACCCTTTCTTATTAAGATCCAACCCCTTTCTTATTAAGATCCAACCTTACTTATTAAGGTCCAACCTTACTTATTAAGATCCAACCCTTTCTTATTAAGATCCAACCCTTTCTTATTAAGATCCAACCTTACTTATTAAAGGTCCAACCCTTACTTATTAAGATCCAACCCTTTCTTATTAAGATCCAACCCTTACTTATTAAGATCCAACCCTTTCTTATTAAGATCCAACCCTTACTTATTAAGATCCAACCCCGTCTTATTAGATCCAACCCTTACTTATTAAGATCCAACCCTTTCTTATTAAGATCCAACCCTTACTTATTAAGATCCAACCCTGTCTTATTAAGATCCAACCCTTACTTATTAAGATCAAACCCTGTCTTATTAAGATCCAACCCTTTCTTATTAAGATCCAACCCTTTCTTATTAAGATCCAACCCTTACTTATTAAGATCCAACCCTTTCTTATTAAGATACAACCATTACTTATTAAGATCCTACCCTTTCTTATTAAGATCCTACCCTTTCTTATTAAGATCCAACCCTTTCTTATTAGGATCCTACCCTTTCTTATTAAGATCCTACCCTTTCTTATTAAGATCCAACCCTTACTTATTAAGATCCAACCCTTTCTTATTAAGATACAACCCTTACTTATTAAGATCCTACCCTTTCTTATTAAGATCCTACCCTTTCTTATTAAGATCCAACCCTTTCTTATTAAGATCCTACCCTTTCTTATTAAGATCCAACCCTTTCTTATTAAGATCCTACCCTTTCTTATTAAGATCCAACCCTTTCTTATTAAGATCCTACCCTTTCTTATTAAAATCCAACCCATTCGTATTAAGATCCTACCCTTTCTTATTAAGATCCTACCCTTTCTTATTAAGATCCTACCCTTTCTTATTAAGATCCTACCCTTTCTTATTAAGATCCAACTCTTTCTTATCAAGATGCTACCCTTTCTTATTAAGATCCAACCCTTTCTTATTAAGATGCTACCCTTTCTTATTAAGATGCTACCCTTTCTTATTAAGATCCAACCCTTTCTTATTAAGATCCAACCCTTTCTTATTAAGATCCTACCCTTTCTTATTAAGATCCTACCCTTTCTTATTAAGATCCTACCCTTTCTTATTAAGATCCTACCCTTTTTTTATTAAGATCCAACCCTTTCTTATTAAGATCCTACCCTTTCTTATTAAGATCCTGCCCTTTCTTATTAAGATCCTACCCTTTCTTATTAAGATCCAACCCTTTCTTATTAAGATCCTACCCTTTCTTATTAAGATCCTACCCTTTCTTATTAAAATCCAACCCTTTCTTATTAAGATCCAACCCTTTCTTATTAAGATCCTACCCTTTCTTATTAAGATCCTAACCCTTTCTTATTAAGATCCATCTCTTTCTTATCAAGATCCTACCCTTTCTTATTAAGATCCAACCCTTTCTTATTAAGATGCTACCCTTTCTTATTAAGATGCTACCCTTTCTTATTAAGATCCAACCCTTTCTTTTTAAGATCCAACCCTTTCTTATTAAGATCCTACCCTTTCTTATTAAGATCCTACCCTTTCTTATTAAGATCCTACCCTTTCTTATTAAGATCCTACCCTTTCTTATTAAGATCCAACTCTTTCTTATCAAGATGCTACCCTTTCTTATTAAGATCCAACCCTTTCTTATTAAGATGCTACCCTTTCTTATTAAGATGCTACCCTTTCTTATTAAGATCCAACCCTTTCTTATTAAGATCCAACCCTTTCTTATTAAGATCCTACCCTTTCTTATTAAGATCCTACCCTTTCTTATTAAGATCCTACCCTTTCTTATTAAGATCCTACCCTTTTTTTATTAAGATCCAACCCTTTCTTATTAAGATCCTACCCTTTCTTATTAAGATCCTGCCCTTTCTTATTAAGATCCTACCCTTTCTTATTAAGATCCAACCCTTTCTTATTAAGATCCTACCCTTTCTTATTAAGATCCTACCCTTTCTTATTAAAATCCAACCCTTTCTTATTAAGATCCAACCCTTTCTTATTAAGATCCTACCCTTTCTTATTAAGATCCTACCCTTTCTTATTAAGATCCATCTCTTTCTTATCAAGATCCTACCCTTTCTTATTAAGATCCAACCCTTTCTTATTAAGATGCTACCCTTTCTTATTAAGATGCTACCCTTTCTTATTAAGATCCAACCCTTTCTTTTTAAGATCCAACCCTTTCTTATTAAGATCCTACCCTTTCTTATTAAGATCCTACCCTTTCTTATTAAGATCCTGCCCTTTCTTATTAAGATCCTACCCTTTCTTATTAAGATCCAACCCTTTCTTATTAAGATCCTACCCTTTGTTATTAAGATCCTACCCTTTCTTATTAAAATCCAACCCTTTCTTATTAAGATCCAACCCTTTCTTATTAAGATCCTACCCTTTCTTATTAAGATCCTACCCTTTCTTATTAAGATCCATCTCTTTCTTATCAAGATCCTACCCTTTCTTATTAAGATCCAACCCTTTCTTATTAAGATGCTACCCTTTCTTATTAAGATGCTACCCTTTCTTATTAAGATCCAACCCTTTCTTTTTAAGATCCAACCCTTTCTTATTAAGATCCTACCCTTTCTTATTAAGATCCTACCCTTTCTTATTAAGATCCAACCCTTTCTTATTAAGATCCTACCCTTTCGTAATAAGATCCTACCCTTTCTTATTAAGATCCAACCCTTTCTTATTAAGATCTAACCCTTTCTTATTAAGATTCTACCCTTTCTTATTAAGATCCTACCCTTTCTTACTAAGATTCAATCCTTTCTACTAAAATCCAACTCTTTCTTTTTAGGATCCAACCGTTTCTTACTAAGATCCAGTCATTTCTTACTAAGATCTAACCAGTTCTTACTAAAATCTAACCACATCTTACTAAGATCTAACTATTTGTTACTAAGATTCAACCTTTTCTTACTAAGATCTAGCCATTTTTTCTAAGATTCAACCTTTTCTTACTAAGATCTAACCATTTCTTACTAAGATTCAACCTTTTCTTAATAATATCTAACCATTTCTTACTAAGATTCAACCTTTTCTTAATAAGATCTAACCATTTCTTACTAAGATTCAACCTTTTCTTAATAAGATCTAACCGTTTCTTGCTAAGATTCAACCATTTCTTACTAAGATCAAACCATTTCTTGCTAAGATTCAACCATTTCTTTCTAAGATCTAACCATTTCTTACTAAGATTCAACCTTTTCTTAATAAGATCTAACCATTTCTTACTAAGATTCAACCATTTCTTTCTAAGATCTAACCATTTCTTACTAAGATCCAACCTTTTCTTACTAAGATCCTCCCCTGGTATAGAAGGTCACCTGTAAGGAAGAGGAAGACAGCTCCAGCAGTAGAGTGAACGAGATTATCGAGAGTGTTGTGATCTGAGGTGAAGTCACACATGACCATCCCTGGCTTCTCCACCCCACACAGACACTGCCGTGCAGTTTAACGTCGCTAAGCACATATTTCTACACCGACCTGCGGGCAGAGAATCTCTTTACTGGGATTCAGCGGAAGCACTAAACTCACATGTGGGTAGTTTCAAATTTAGGTTGGATAAGTACATGAGTGGGAGGGGTTGGATTTGAGAGGGACTTGCACATCGGAGCTTGTTTCTTGGGTGGCATTGAAAATTGGGTTGGTCAAAGTTGTGTTAGTGGGATGAATTGTAAAGGACCTGCCTAGTATGGGCCAACAGGCCTGCTGCAGTGTTCCTCCTTTCTTATGTTCTTATGTTCTTATGTGTGTGTGTACTCATCTACTCACCTAATTGCTGATGCAGGGGTTGAGACTCAGCTCCTGGCCCCGCCTTTTCACTGAGTGCTATTAGGTCCTCTTTCTCCCTGCTCCATGAGCTTTATCATACCTCATCTTAAAGCTATGTATGGTTCCTGCCTCCACTACCTCACTTGCTAGGCTGTTCCACTTCCTGGCAACTCTATGACTGAAGAAATACTTCCAAACATCCCTTTGACTCATCTGGGTCTTCAGCTTAAAATTGTAACCCCTTGTTTCTGTGTCACATCTCTGGAACATCCTGTCTCTGTCCACCTTGTCGATTCCACGCAGTAATTTCTATGTCGTAATCATGTCTCCCCTGACCCTCCTGTCCTCCAGTGTTGTCAGACCGATTTCCTTTAACCTTTCTACATAGGACATTCCCCTTAGCTCTAGAACTAGCCTTGTTACAAAGCTTTGCACTTTCTCTAATTTCTTGACGTGTTTGACCAGGTGTGGGTTCCAAACTGGTGCTGTGTACTCCAGTATGGGCCTGACGCACACAGTGTATAAAGTCTTGAAGGATTCCTTACTGAGGTACCGGAACGCCATTCTCAGGTTTGCCAGGCGCCCATATGCCGCAGCAGTTATCTGGTTAATGTGTGCTTCTGGCGATGTACTCGGTATTATAATCACTCCTAGATCTTTCTCCTTGAGTGAGGTTTGCAGTCTTTGGCCACCTAGCCTATACTCTGTCTGCGGTCTTCTTTGCCCTTCTCCGATCTTCATGACTTTACATTAGGCAGGGTTAAATTCTATGAGCCAGTTGCTGGACCACGCATCCAGCCTGTCCAGGTCACTTTGTAGACCTGTCTGATCCGCGTCTGAGTTAATTCTCCTCATTAACTTCACGTCATCTGCAAACAGGGACACTTCTGAGTCTATCCCTTCCGTCATGTCGTTCACATATACCAAGAATAGCACTGGTCCTAGAACTGACCCCTGTGTGTGTGTGTGTGTGTGTGTGTGTGTGTGTGTGTGTGTGTGTGTGTGTGTGTGTGTGTGTGTGTGTGTGTGTGTTGTGTGTGTGTTGTGTGGTGTGTGTGTGTGTGTGTGTGTGTGTGTGTGTGAGTGTGTGTGTGTGTGTGTAAGACGACAACGCAAGGAGTGGTGGAGAAAATTATTATTGTTATTATTATTATCATTGTTATTGTTGCTGCTATAATAATAATAATAATAATAATAATAATAATAATAATAATAATAATAATAATAATAATAATAATTATAATAATAATAAAAATAATAATAATAATAAAAATAATAATAATAATAATAATAATAATAATAATAATAATAATAATATTATTATTATTATTATTATTATTATTATTATTATTATTATTATTATAATATTATTGCAATTGTTGTTGTTTTTATAAAAAACAACAACTCCTTATAAGTCATTCACAAGAGTGTACTAAAATAGTCGAGAGGGATTTGCACATGAGTTATGGTTATCAAAGTTTATTCCTTGGGTAGCATTAAAAATGGGCTGGGCAAATATTTTTGAGTTTGAGAAGGACCTGCCTTGTATGGGCCAGTAGGCCTGCTGTAGTGCTCCTCCTTTCTAATGTTCCAATTAATGAGTGGGAAAAAACAAGCACTTACACGGAGAATGAGCCCGTTCACGCCTCCACACAGACATACGCGAGGAGAAAGAAGCTCCTCTCCTGACAGTGTAGGTAGCAGAGTCCTGCCTCGCTACCACCACTACCACCATCGCCACGACAACCACCATCATCACCGTCACTACACCAGTCGCCTTCATGGTCACTTCCCGAGCCTAGCACCTGCCGCTCCTCTCTCGGGTACCTACGTATGGAAGGAGAGAAGTCTTAAGTGTTACTAATCCTATTTATATTCATTGTATGAAATACATACATACATACATATATATATATATATAATATATATATATATATATATATTATATATATATATATATATATATATATATATATATATATATATGTATATAAATGGGGGGGGGGGTTCTTTTAACATAATACAACGCTAGCAAGAGAAGGTGTGCACTTTAAATGATTTATATGAAGCGGAAGGACCACTGTGTAAATTTTACAGCTTGAAAAATTACCCCAGCAAATATGTGTCAAAGTTTACAACATGGCAGCAAAACTTTATTTACGCAGCAAATAAATCCATGACGGGTTGGTGTGCAACGACAACAAATCACATCACTGATATGAATTGTGATTTGTTGGTCATGTTTCTTTCGTGAAAATGTAAACCTGACAAAAATGGTATTTCTTTGCTTTCCTTTGTAGTTATATATATATATATATATATATATATATATATATATATATATATATATATATATATATATAAATATATATATATATATATATATATATATATATATAAATATATATATATATATATATATATATATATATATATATATATATATATATATATATATATATATATTATATATATATATATATATATATATATATATATATATATATATGTGTGTGTGTATATTGTGTGTGTGTACTCACCTAGTTGTACTCACCTAGTTGAGGTTGCAGGGGTCGAGTCCAAGCTCCTGGCCCCGCCTCTTCACTGGTCGCTACTAGGTCACTCTCCCTGAACCATGAGCTTTATCGTACCTCTGCTTAAAGCTGTGTATGGATCCTGCCTCCACTACATCGCTTCCCAAACTATTCCACTTCCTGACTACTCTGTGGCTGAAGAAATATTTCCTAACATCCCTTTGATTCATCTGTGTCTTCAGCTTCCAACTGTGTCCCCGTGTTGCTGTGTCCAGTCTCTGGAACATCCTGTCTTTGTCCACCTTGTCAATTCCTCTCAGTATTTTGTAAGTCGTTATCATGTCCCCCCTATCTCTCCTGTCCTCCAGTGTCGTCAGGTTGATTTCCCTTAACCTCTCCTCGTAGGACATACCTCTTAACTCTGGGACTAGTCTTGTTGTAAACCTTTGCACTTTCTCTAGTTTCTTTACATGCTTGGCTAGGTGTGGGTTCCAAACTGGTGCCGCATACTCCAATATGGGCCTAACGTACACAGTGTACAGGGTCCTGAACGATTCCTTATTAAGATGTCGGAATGCTGTTCTGAGGTTTGCTAGGCGCCCATATGCTGCAGCAGTTATTTGGTTGATGTGCGCTTCAGATGTGCCTGGTGTTATACTCACCCCAAGATCTTTTTCCTTGAGTGATGTTTGTAGTCTCTGGCCCCCTAGACTGTACTCCGTCTGTGGTCTTCTTTGCCCTTCCCAAATCCTCATGACTTTGCACTTGGTGGGATTGAACTCCAGGAGCCAGTTGCTGGACCAGGTCTGCAGCCTATCCAGATCCCTTTGTAGTTCTGCCTGGTCTTCGATCGACTGAACTCTTCTCATCAACTTCACGTCATCTGCAAACAGGGACACCTCGGAGTTTATTCCTTCCGTCATGTCGTTCACAAATTCCAGAAACAGCACTGGTCCTAGGACTGACCCCTGTGGGACCCCGCTGGTCACAGGTGCCCACTCTGACACCTCACCACGTACCATGACTCGCTGCTGTCTTCCTGACAAGTATTCCCTGATCCATTGCAGTGCCTTCCCTGTTATCCCTGCTTGGTCCTCCAGTTTTTGCACTAATCTCTTGTGTGGTACTGTGTCAAACGCCTTCTTGCAGTCCAAGAAAATGCAATCCACCCACCCCTCTCTCTCTTGTCTTACTGCTGTGTGTGTGTGTGTGTGTGTGTGTGTGTGTGTGTGTGTGTGTGTGTGTGTGTGTGTGTGTGTGTGTGTGTGTGTGTGTGTGTGTGTGTGTGTGTGTGTGTGTGTGTGTTGTGTGTGTGTTATGAACATTAAAATGGTATAAAATACCGACAGATTGTTAGGTAAGACACATATGCAACAGTTAGGTATCTTTATTTCGAAACGTTTCGCCTACACAGTAGGCTTCTTCAGTCGAGTACAGAAAAGTTGATAGAAGCAGAAGATACTTGAAGACGATGTAATCAGTCCATCACCCTTAAAGTTTTGAGGTGGTCAGTCCCTCAGTCTGGAGAAGAGCATTGTTCCGTTGTCTGAAACAATATGAAGTTGAAGGGACAGGATGGAGCCTTTATATAGTGCCAGGAGGTGAGACGTAGGTTGCTTTGGGAGGGCAGGTCCCTCTCAAACCCAGCCGTTCTCACTAGTAGAGGGTCGAAGTTGATGGTCTGTACCAAGATACCCTTGTGTTGCAGTGTCTGACAGAATGAACATTAAAATGGTATAAAATACCGACAGATTGTTAGGTAAGACACATATGCAACAGTTAGGTATCTTTATTTCGAAACGTTTCGCCTACACAGTAGGCTTCTTCAGTCGAGTACAGAAAAGTTGATAGAAGCAGAAGATACTTGAAGACGATGTAATCAGTCCATCACCCTTAAAGTTTTGAGGTGGTTAGTCCCTCAGTCTGGAGAAGAGCATTGTTCCGTTGTCTGAAACAATATGAAGTTGAAGGGACAGGATGGAGCCTTTATATAGTGCCAGAAGGTGAGACGTAGGTTGCTTTGGGAGGGCAGGTCCCTCTCAAACCCAGCCGTTCTCACTAGTAGAGGTCGAAGTTGATGGTCTGTACCAAGATACCCTTGTGTTGCAGTGTCTGACAGAATGAACATTAAAATGGTATAAAATACCGACAGATTGTTAGGTAAGACACATATGCAACAGTTAGGTATCTTTATTTCGAAACGTTTCGCCTACACAGTAGGCTTCTTCAGTCGAGTACAGAAAAGTTGATAGAAGCAGAAGATACTTGAAGACGATGTAATCAGTCCATCACCCTTAAAGTTTTGAGGTGGTCAGTCCCTCAGTCTGGAGAAGAGCATTGTTCCGTTGTCTGAAACAATATGAAGTTGAAGGGACAGGATGGAGCCTTTATATAGTGCCAGGAGGTGAGACGTAGGTTGCTTTGGGAGGGCAGGTCCCTCTCAAACCCAGCCGTTCTCACTAGTAGAGGTCGAAGTTGATGGTCTGTACCAAGATACCCTTGTGTTGCAGTGTCTGACAGAATGAACATTAAAATGGTATAAAATACCGACAGATTGTTAGGTAAGACACATATGCAACAGTTAGGTATCTTTATTTCGAAACGTTTCGCCTACACAGTAGGCTTCTTCAGTCGAGTACAGAAAAGTTGATAGAAGCAGAAGATACTTGAAGACGATGTAATCAGTCCATCACCCTTAAAGTTTTGAGGTGGTCAGTCCCTCAAGTATCTTCTGCTTCTATCAACTTTTCTGTACTCGACTGAAGAAGCCTACTGTGTAGGCGAAACGTTTCGAAATAAAGATACCTAACTGTTGCATATGTGTCTTACCTAACAGTGTGTGTGTTATGGAAAGCGTGCGACCGAAATATAAGGGTCTGCCTATAGCCGTTTTCTGTATGTAATTTGTAAAAAAAAAAAACAGAGCAGTTTGATTTTTATTTTTTTGGAATGTGCGAGGATACAGTAATGATGTTAAGAAAAAGGCCGATTTTCAAAGTTTTTAAATGAAAGAAAGCTGTAGCTCTTGGCACTGGTTGAAACATATTAAATAGTGGTTTGAAATTTCCCGTGACAGTAGATGTAAGCAATTACCTCCAGTGGATGAGAAAAAATGAGAACTAGAAGAGTAAAAGAAATGTCCAATCTGCCTTTTTTTTTTAAATAAAAAAAAAGGTACAAATGCTTAAACTGAAGAACTCTCTGGTTGAAAATAAAATTGTGATGTAGACAATTCGGGCGACAAATGGGAAAGAAAGATATAATTTTAATTGACTGATGAATCTGTAAACACAGAGAGATTTTTTAAATTTCCTGTCTGGAGGGGCAGGTAACAGCGAGTATTTATATGCATGGAAATAAAAGAAGTATGTATAGAGGGATGCTGGGAGGTGGAACGTTTATTTTAATGGACTGAACACATCGACTCCAGGCTGACGGACTGATTACCTCATTCTCCTCCTCTTCTTGCACCTCTCTGCTTTGTATTGGACTGATGAAGCCACTGTGTGGCGAAACGTTTCCTAAATAAAGATTCCCATATGGTGTGTGTACGAATGGTATATAATACCGACAAGATGAGAGTAAGACACATGTGCAACATCTGGGTATCTTTATTGTAGACGTTTCGCCATCCAGTGGCTTTATCAATACAAATTCCAGGACATAACTTGAAGACAGTAGAACTATGTACAGAAGATGAGGTAATCAGTCCCTCAACCTAGGAGTAGGTGCGAACAGCACCATAGTCGTGGAGATTCTGAATCTCCACGACTATGGTGCTGTTCGCACCTACTCCTAGGTTGAGGGACTGATTACCTCATCTTCTGTACATAGTTCTACTGTCTTCAAGTTATGTCCTGGAATTTGTATTGATAAAGCCACTGGATGGCGAAACGTCTACAATAAAGATACCCAGATGTTGCACATGTGTCTTACTCTCATCATTCCCATATGGTGCATAAGTGTCTCATTCTTCAACTTGTCGGTTTTCAAAATCATTCATCACAAGAGAATAACTGTTTATGAGATGATAATGTCAGAGATATTGTTGTAGTTGGTATAGTAGAAAGTTTTGAGTACTAGAAATAAAACGAGTTGCGTTTAAACATTGGTTTGATATATAAAATATCATTCTAGGAAAGAATGAATATGAATCGAGGTAAACTAAATACTGTCAACTGGTGGATAAAACACTGACGGGTTGATTTGTGGATGTACGTGATTATAGGGGAGTGACCCCTACATCTCAGCATTTTTAATAATAGCTAGCAAGTTAGAGAGTAAGGTGAACAA